CTTCAGCTCCCAGAATTCCCCAGCCAGCTGGCTGGGGAATTCTGGGAGTTGAAGTCCACCCCTCTTCAAGTTCTCAAGGTGGAGAAACACTGGTTTAGGACCACCTTTTATATATGGGTGTGTGGCTACCGATAAGACCCCCTGGGCATGCTGAACTCTAGCAAAGGGCCATTATGGCTCCATCCGATATATGAAGTCAGCCACTGAATCTTGTAGACAAGAACTGAGTCTTCAAGGGGAGCCCCAGCAACAATGCATTGCAGTAATCTAGAGGGGGCTGTGAAACCCGTAACTGCTCCATCTACAGCTAGGAAGATTGATCTTGTAGTCCTCCCAAGCTGCTTTATAAGCTCATTTTGGTGCCTGGCTGCAGGGAACTGCAATTCCCAGAATCCCCTGCCCAGGTGTTCTTTGGAGTTCTGGGAACTGCCAGCCCCACATCGAGGGATCCCTTCTAGTGGAGGTAGCCGTAACCGAGAAGCAGCTGACCCTTTTGCAAACAAATTAAGGCGAAACTGAGGTGGCTGAGCGTGAGCAGATTGCTAATGAGAAGAGTTAAATATTTCTAGCTCGGGGACGGGTGACAGTTGCGCCGAGCGAAGAATGAATTTGTCATTCCAGGGCTTGTATTTTGAGAACTTGGCACAATACAACTCGTTTCTCCTCCAGCTCAGAACTGGCTGGGGCGAACGTGCTAAGTTCACGCGAGGTTCAGCAGCCCTGGTTTGTAGAACAAGCCACCACGGGCACACCGGGCTATAAACCACGGTTTGGTGGCCATCGGCTGGGTTGATGCGGCGGACCCTGCCCCAAATGAAGATGATCCGCGGAGAGACACCGGTTGAAAAGTGAGAGGGCAGATCTGGGCACGGGGCTTGCTAAATGCCAGCTTGCAGGCAGGATGGGCAAGAGGCAGGGATGATGGAAGAGGTAGTCCAAGCCTCAGGTTGCTTGCTCTTACTCTGGAGGAGACCAAGCTCCATCCGCCCTGCTTCCCGGGAAAACTCCCAAGTTTGCCAGGCTGCGTCGGACGCTCGTCCCCAACCCTAGCTGCAACGATGGGAACTGGAGTAGAGCCGCAGATTGGGACGCTCCTGCTCCTTTCCGCCTCGTTCAGCGTCTGCGTTCCAGCCGCGCCTCCCTTCTCCGTTCCTCGGCTGGCTTCGTCTCCCTCCTTTAAAAGAAAGCCCTCGGAGCGCCTCATTAAAAAAAAGCAAAATTAAAAAAAAAAAGCAAGCACAATCCTCTCGCTTTTCCTTCTGTTTCTTTGCGGGTCTGTTTTCCAGGTCTCTCTAACACAAAACAGCCCATTTTCTGGGACGTTCCAGCCTTTCCACTAAATGCACCATTTCATCTGCCGGGCGGAAAGGCACGCCTTAAATATACCTCGCCTTTCTTTCTCTAATTGAATCTCCCTTCCCTCTTCGGCCTCCTTTCCGCCTCCGCCGTCCAGCTGCAAACGTCGCTCTGGCGTTGCGCTGCACGGAGTCCAAATCTCGCCAAGATGGTTGCGAAAAGCAGCTTTTTGCCCCTTCAGCTCCCTCGCGCCCCTCCGATGACTGGAAACCGCCGGGCCTTTAAACCGTGCATCCGATATTTACAAAAGGCTGCCGAACAAACCTGGATGCCACCCCCGGTAAGGGCCGGACCCCACGAAACCGCGACGCAGCTCCAGGCAAAATGTTTGCGGCTCGTTCTGCGTCTTTGTGTGCACGTGGTTTTATTTGGCAAGTGCCTCCTGGACGCGCCGCCCGGGAGTCGCCCAGGGATCCCCCCTTCAATTGATTTGGCATGTTGGCATCGCCCCCTCCTCCCTAGACCTTGCTGGCGGTGAACAGGGGGGGACATTCCACCACTTGGTTTCACAACAGCCCTGTGAGGGAGGCCGCGAGACAGCGAGCGGACCCAGGGCCTCCCAAATGAGCCCTTTTGGTGACCAGGATTTGAACGCATGGCACGTTTTCCTGCTGGTTTGCTGCTCCACCCAGAAGAAATGCAATAATAATAATAATAATAATAATAATAATAATAATAATAATACTGAGATCGTGTGCGTGGTCCACCTTTTGAGAGCCCAATCGTTCAAGGAATGGGGAAAGGATGTACCCCGATATCTCTGCATTTGGGGGGCAACGCTGTATTCGGGGCACTGTTTATAGCCAGTCTGCTCCCTTGCTCCTGACACAGGATCCGCACCCTGTTTTTCAGGGCACCCAAATCCCCGCTGTTTGCACCAGCTGTGCGGGCCAGATGTTCAGTTATAGTTCATCTTTCTCCGCAGCACCATCTTTGGGGGGGATTTCGGCCTTTTCCGGACTCGGTGCCGTCTCGGGGGGCAGCTGTGTTTCTTCTGTTTTGAACAGCATCCGGACCAAGTCGTCGGCCTGGATCCTCTCCTGTGGAGGGAGAGAAAGAGAAGGGGCCGCCTGTTTTCATGATGGCGTCTACCTTGACAGCCCTGCGAGGTAGGCCGGGCCAAGAAACAGGCATGGCGGGGGTTCCAGAAATGCTGTTTATTGCAAGGTGGAACAAGAGAATCTGGAAGGCTTGATTTTCTCTGCCCCATCTTAGATGAAACAAAATCAAGGTAGTTTAGGGCAG